ACATCAAGCATCAAAGACATCAGACATACTGGGTCAGCCCCCTACTCTTTTTTTTTAACAGTCCATAACCATATTAAAATCTACACATAGTCCCGTTTCTCTAGCCAATAATAAAAAGAGTTCCAAGTTTGATAGAAATATGTATCCTCTTTTTCCTTCAGAGACAAGGTCAATCTGTCCATTTCTGCACAGTCCAAGATCTTTTTTTAAGATCAGTTCATCAGTAGGTGGCTCTTCACTCCTCCAGTGTTGGGCAAATACAATCCTTGTTGCAGTAATTAAATATAGAATTAGATATTTTGCATGTTTATCAAAGTCATCAGAAATAATGCCTAATAGAAAAACTTCAGGTTTAAATATTAAAGGTTTTTGTAACATTTCCTCAAGTCATTTATGTACTTTAACCCAGTATTTATTTTTGGCCTTATCACAAGTCCATCACATATGATAAAAAGTACCAGATTTATGTTTACATTTCCAACATCCAAAATGGAGGAATTCTTGTTCACTACTTAAAATAAGAAACATGGATGTCACACTATAATTCTCTTCGGAATTCACAGTTCTTATTTGTGAATAAGTAAGTGGACTTTTTTCCACCGTACTTAGAAAGTCCATTTCCAACCTAGTGCCCTCCAAATCAGTTAGGCTACCCATTGGCAGTGCTGGCTGAGAATTATGGGAGATGACAGCCCAACAGTTCAGGAAAGCCCAACAGTTCAGGAAAGCACCAGGCTGAGCAGGGCTGACAGCCCAACAGTTCAGGAAAGCACCAGGCTGACCAAGAGGACAGATCTTGTCCGTGTTCTTTGTGGGGGTGGAAAGCAGTTTGTGAATCTCAGCTTCCTGTCCAACTTCAAAAGTAGTAGCCGAGAGGAATGCGGGAAAGGACCACCAGGGATAGTCTAAAATTTTTACTGACAACATCGTATAATATAAGCATAAATAAAGGCTTTAAAAAGAGAAGAAAAAGCAGGTGCCGTTCTTTTGCACCTAGGGCTTATTACCTTCGTTTAAAAAATAAACTTTTATTGAAAAGGGTGGGGGCGTGGACCTCGAGCAGTTTACATCCTGCTGTTGTCCTTTGCAAAATAAAGGCTATCCAGACTCAGTAAAAAAAACAACGGCGTTTTTCCCTTTCAGCTCCTTTTGCCTTCGAAGCAGCTGTCCTGGGCCCATTTCGTCCTTTTTCCACAGGGCAGGTCACGCGGCCCCAGGGCGGCAGCGGCCTAGCGAAAGTCAACCGGGTACCTGGGCGTAAAAGGGCGGTCAAGCGCGCGCTTCGGGAGCTATTGAGCCTCTTCTCTCCCCGTTTCTTCACGCATCTGGCCCTTTAAATTGTGGAGAAGAGAGAGGCGTTGCAATCCGCTGGTGCTAAATGCTGAGACGAGCCGCTGGCAGCTTGCGTCTGTCGCCTCTTCATGGTAAGCGATGCGATCTTTTCCCTTTTGCCTTTTTCTCTGTGGGTCTTTCTGGAGAAGTGACTGCGCAGAAGACAGATCGAATGGCCTCTGCACTCTTCGGGGAAAACTTCCAAAGTAGTCCTACTCGAAGTAGGCAGAGACTGCACTTGGCTCTCTCGCGAGCGGGGTAGCTGCTGATCAAGTCCTGGGTACACATCTGAGGTCTCCTGTTGCTCCTGAGAATCGTTGCTCCCTGCACTCCCATCACTTTTCTATAGCTCCCTTTAGGGGCTCTTTGCTCAGTTTTTATTGCCATTTCAAATTGATTCTGTATCTTTAATATAACAGGCCAGAGGAATGGACAGAAATTCAGTTGGCTGAGATGCAGTGATGCTGAAGTTGTTGAGCTTCTTCCTGCCATAGACGCATTAACAGTTGTACAAGCTTTGCCAAGGAGGAAAAGTTGGCAACCCCCATTGCCAGATCCCCTTAATTTTTTAAGGTGTAGTTCTTCGTTTAGAACACTTTAATTCTGTAGATTCTGTAGCCTAGAGTATTTCAGCACTTTGATAATTTGGGACATACACATGCCCTTTATTTCTGGACTCATCAGCAACTGAGTGTTTTCAGTGGAATACTTTTCTTGTGGTCTTCTGCGATAAGGGTACTCAGTCTGGATTTGTTTCCTACCGTGTTTAATATTTGCATGGAAATTAAAACTAAGGTGTTTTAAAACCACAGTAACACTAGGGTTTTGCAAATGGAGTCAAAACTGCACTGTGCTATAATGTTAGTGTATTGGAGTGCATTTCTATATGTGACATATTAAATATAACCACATGTAATAGCCATTTTATGTTAAGGAATATGAAAATGGGTGTCTAGAGAACAGTGTTTCTTGTAACTATTCATTTCCACAGACTTTTCCTCAAATAAAGAAGGTAATATTTCTGTTGTTCACACCCATACTTGTCATACTATATGTAGTTTAGTTACATTTTGGCCTAGCCTTAATTGCCCTGAATAATCTTTCTGGTATCAAATATATTATATGCTACAAGACATAACTGCAACAAAATATAGCATTAAGGAGGGATCCAGTTAAATGTGTCAGCCATGTCTTCTATTACAATACACCATTCTGTCCCTCCACATCTAGTTTCCCAGTTACCACCCTGTCAATACTGTAAAAAGAATAGCCCAGTGAGTTAGTTAAAATCCCCTCCTTAAAGATTTTCTAACATATTAATAACAGGCATGAGGAAGGCATTCCAAATGGGACCCTATAGAGGAATGGGGTTGTAACTCTTTCCTCCCTTCCATGGTCCCAGCTGGATCAGCTGCACCTGCAAACAGTAGTTGGATTTGACTGGGACTGCAGTTAGACAGAGGCAGAGGTAAAATCCTCCTGCCTCCCCCTTCTTGGAGAGGCTATTCCAGAAACCAGGTGTCTGTGCTTTTAACAATCCCTTGCTATTGTGAACCACCCAGAGAGATTCAGCTGTTGGGCAGTATAGAAAATAAATAAATAAATAAAATACATAATTTGAGGAGCACACACTATCTGAAAGCTTTCCTAGTTGAATTTCCAGTTCTGTGCCAGTTTTAAAAAGCACCAAGGCAGTTTTGATCTTTGTATTTAAAGAGGAGAAAGGCAAGGTGGCAGGTTTCAGAAGCAAGAAGGCAAAGCCCCTGTTATGGCATATTGGAGAGAGTTGGAGCTTCTGCTTACATTACCCTTTTTGGTACATATCCACAATAAAAGGAAGCTGTACAATTATTCCCATCACTGTATTTGGATAAGACTGCCCAGTCAGAAGTCACCTAACCATAGTTGCAAAATGAAGGAAATTATAATGGCCCCAGATGTATTAGACCACTACTTCTATCATCTCCAGGCAACGTGACCGATGACTGGGGCTAGTGGGAACTGTAATCTAACACAACTGGAGGGTGTCCACATGAGGAGGGCTGGTGAGGGTCTTTCTGGCTGTGTTAGCACTGTAGCTATCTGTTAGCAAGGTGGGTAGGCCCAGTGAGATGTGAAGATGAGTGTAGGGTGGATTTCAGGGTCAGGAGCATGACTTTTCGACTGATTCCCTGAAACTAACATGAACTGATGTGTGCTCTCTTCCCAAGTAATTTTCATTGCGCCTCTAGAATGGATTGTTCTAGTGCTGCTTGTGTCTTGTGGGATTACTGAGTACCACTGCATCCAAAGTTCCCAGCAAGTGTGCTGGGTTGCCTAGTCACTCTCCCCTGCCCTGTGAGTTTGCTTCAGCTGGTTGTACTTAGGTGGACTCATATTGTCTGGAATCTGCCTGTCCTTGGTGGTAACCAAGCAGACATTGTGCTCTGGCATTGTGCTCCTTATTTAAGAGTGGCAATAGCTAAAGAAGCAGTGGTGCATATCACTTAGTGTTGCAACCGGTTGATTTTTGTAGCTGTGAATGTGCTATCCACCAACATCTGGAGGGCTGTGTGTCCTGTCCCTCCCACTATATGCCTTACTTCTGCCTTCCTGATCTGATGTGCCGAAAGTAATGGATGAATTCATAAGCTCATAAACTCTGCTCTTCTACAAAACCAGTTTTTGCCAGAGAAACTGATAAATAAGAAAAGACTAAGACTCGGAGAAGTTGAGGGCTGATTCACAGAACTGGATTTTCCTTTGCTGTGTTTTTGGGGTGCTTCTTGTCTGTAAGTTTCAAATGAATCAGCATTAGGAAGACATGATCAGATGTCATCCAATGCACGACTGTGTAGATTTCTGGACAATGGAAGAATTATGGCCAGTTCATGCATTATATTTAGTATGTACACTGAACTTTTTCCCCTTAAGATTTTTGCTTGCAAATTTCAGAGCTGTCTTAGAGCAACTGATACCACCCTTCTGTGCAATTATGGCTACATAAACAAGAGTATTCACAATTGGAAATTGAAGCAATGGTTCATGTTCCATGGCTGTCACGGTGTAACTGCTCATGTTCACATTTATGGAGGCTTCACATTTCCACATAAGAGCCAATGTGGCCTGGTGGTTAGACTGGGGATCCAGGAGACCCTATTCCAGTCCTCATTCAGTCATGAAGCTTACTGGATGACCTGGGGCTAGTCACTCATTCTCGGCCTAACCTACCCGATAGGCTTGCTGTTGTGATGATAAAATGGAATGGAGGACTATGTAAGTTTCCCTGGGTTCCTCATGAGAAAGGAAAAAACAGCTATGCGTGTAATGTAATAATAATATTTATCTAGTATACACAAGAAATATATAGCCTGCAAAATGTTGATTCATCAGGCTCCCAAATGGAGATTCTCCGAAACTTGTTCATTGGAGGGCTTCACATTATGCAATAAAATGACCAAGGTGAAAGGCTCTTAAATGCTATGACCTAATTAAAATTAAGTAGATTCAAAATGTTCCTTCCTTGTTCCTCATGACTTAGCCAGAACCTAAGTGGCTTAACTAGAAACACTGCAAAATGCTTATAAATATTGTTCTAGCAAAACTTGCATTTCATTATTAAGCAACACACTCTACTCTTTGTTTACAGGCGCTGCATGAAGTAGATCATGGCCTCATCAGCCAATTACTGGTGGACTCTGAGGAGAACCTTCGTGTGCCCACGGAGAAAATGCAAGCTCCCTCTTTATATAACTGGAGTTCAGACTGGGGCTTTTGGGTAGCTATATTGATTTTTCTTTTGTTTTACATGAGTGATTTTTATTCAAGGACATATGCATTCTATAGCAGGTTAATTAAGTCAGTGCTCTGCAGTGCTTTGGGAAATTTGCATTTCTTACTATGTGTGTGTTGAGTTTCAAAGAAGTGATATCACTGATATATTTCATGCTGAATCACTAGCAGGAGTGGAGAAAGGAGAAGCACCTACTTTAGCTTGGTACCCTCTGGCTATGTTGGACTGTATCTCCCATTATCTGTAGCATTATCTGATGGACAGGCTGTTCAGTCATAGGGCTTTTTTCCTGTTTGGTTATTCTGGTTTAGTTGTTTGCTTTAACCTGGCATTTGCTCACATGTTAAAGCTTCTCATTTTTTTCCAACTAAAAAGCTCCATACACTAATTAGCAAAAGTGTTTGGGGCTTTTTCGTTGAGAAAAACTACAAGTGAGCAGGGCATGATGACAAGTGTTAAAGCTATGTTTAGTGTAGAGAAGGTGGGCAAGAGAGAGATCTCTTGTTATATTAGAACTCTGGATCATCCATGAAACTGATTGGGAACAGAGTAAGCCCAATGCATAATTTACTGGGCTCACTGCTACAAGATGTGGTGATAGCTACTAGCTCAGATAGCTTTCAAGGGGGTTTAACAAATTTGTGGTATCTTCCGATGGCTATTTGTTTTGTTGACTACATAAAATGTCCACATTCAGAGCAAGTGTAAGCAGAATCGACAACAGAATATTGCAGTGCAGAGTGGTCCTCTTCAGGTGCCTGCCTGCCAGCCAGCTCTGCCCTTTGTTAGGCTACTCCATTCAATTCTCCATCCTCCGGTTTTTTTTTTTCTCCCTCCAACAGACAGTCAAAATTTTGTGGAAACAGATCACACCCAGTCCTCATTGAGTTGTTGGGGTATTTTCCCCACATTTGTCTGTCAGTCAGTCAGTCAGTCTCTGTCTGTCTGTCTGTCTGTCTTTGGTTCTTCAGCAAACAGTAGGATTTCCTTGTTGCAGCTAATATCTCTGTCTTATGTATAGATGATGCTACACAATGATGCATGCTCAAAAAAAGAGTTCACTGTTTTAAAGAGATGCCTCTATACCTGTATTCTGAACAAGCCGTAGTGAGATAGGAACTCAATGTTGCTCTCCTCTTGGTATTTAATTTTCCATTCTTTGAGCCTCTTAAATAATTTGACTGTGAACTTATTAAGATCTGTATGCTTCTTTAAAATGTTTTATCTTATTGTAAAAAGAAGAATTAAAAATGTAAAATTGATAATATACATCAAAGAAATCTAGAAAAGCATTTGGAACTAGAAATGTGACAATTTCCTGCATGGGTTATAAGTTCATTTTAAAGCAACAGAAATGTGGAAGGCTGAAAAGGACATTCCAGTGCTCTAACACTGTGCCTAAGCAGCAGTTGCTGCTGATCAAGACACAAAGTGCAGGACCAAGACTTTCTTACACTTTGAGTAGACACACTGAAACGAGTGGGTCTTTTCTTACCAGGACTAGGTCTGAATCCAACCACCATCTGTGAAGAATAACTAATCATGATACCATCCATGCATTTAGCAGTAGTTTTGTAAGGGGTTCCCTAAATATTTATTTATTGAATTTATTTGGAAGCCATCTGTTAGCATCATGCTCTCTGGGTGGCCATTGGTACTTTTTATTTATAAGTAACATACATAAAATGAAACAATTAAAATATAATATACAGTGCACTGGAGCACTTGGTAATCCCTCACTGACACAACTTTGAAGGTCCTTTTCTGGATGTTGTCATCCTCCAGAGCCTCTCCCATGTTTACCAGCCATCTTGATGGCACATGAGGATAATGGAGTATTTCCCTGGGTGATGCCTTTATTCATTACTTAAATAGGTGTGGTGGCCTCATCTATATCTGCACCCTCAGAGGATTTTACCTCTGCCTCTGTCTAACTGCAGTCCCAGTCAAATCCAACTACTGTTTGCAGGTGCAGCTGATCCAGCTGGGACCATGGAAGGGAGGAAAGAGTTACAACCCCATTCCTCTATAGGGTCCCATCTGGAATGCCTTCCTCATGCCTGTTATTAATATGTTAGAAAATCTTAAAATGATTGATAGTCGTTTGATAAAGCAATTTGATAATCCTTGAGATTGAGGCCATCTCATTTTGTTTGCCCAAAATATAATACTTTCCAAGTACTTTCAGTTTACAAGCTAGCTAAAATCTCTCCATATTAAAAATAGTTCTACCTGTCAGTGTAAAATGCTGGAATCTTCTTGGTTGCTTCAGGCATGGAAGCATTTTCTGAGTTGTCCTTGATTACATTTTTGAATTATTGATCATATGCTGGGCATGGGAAATCTGAGTCAGAAGTTAAATGAATTAAGCTGATGAAGTATGCTATAGATCGTGCTTGTTCCTCAATATCATGCTGCCGTCCCAAGCAGTAATACAGTGACTTAAGAGTAGAATGTCATATATTATGCCATGCATATGAATCTTATTCTGGAAGATAGCAAAGTTATTCATTCATGCTTCTGTGCAATTCTGGTGTAGTCTTGAATTTGTCAGTGTTAGGCAAAATGTGTGACAGCAATCCTAAACACACTTACTGGAGAATCACCCCATTGAACATGGTGGGATGGACTGAACTCTGAGTTAATGTGCATAGAATTTGACTGTTTCTGTGATTTTATTCTAATTAAATTGCCTCCACATGTGCAAATTTGGAAGAAAGAACTAAGGTTTAAGTTTCATTTCTGCATATTTGCCCATAATAGAAACCAAATACCAGGAAGAGACTTTTTAGAGGATATTGTTTTCAGCTTACCTGCATAATGATGTAGACAGACAGGGACATCAGTTTGTTAATTAAGTCTTAGTTGGGTCAACTGTGGCTGCAAAGATTTCCATGAAGCTGTAATTGCACCTCTGGAGACCTTTTTATTATTATTGTTGTGGTTGAGCCCATGTTGGGAAGAGAACTCAGCTTGTCACTGAGTTTCCTACGGCTACTGGTTTAGACTTCATGGGAAAGGGGAAAACATAACTAAATTAATTAGCATTACTTAAGAGAAGAACAGTGTGGAGTTCCATAATATAAATTTTATGCTTATATCCAAGACCAGAATTCCATTTCGAGGGTGAATAGGTTCAGGTTGGCATTTGAATAAGTGGGTATAGTAGCTGAGAGCTAGATACCTGCAAGATTGATCCCATTCATGCTGAGAGCTTAACAACCATAGAAAAGTCATTATGTGTCATGTGGGGATTGCTATATTCAGATGTATAAATACTCATTCAACTGAGGGTAGCCACTTATAAATTGTCAAGAAAGAGAACATGCATTGCCTCAAAAGAGGACACCAATTTGCATAAAATCTTCACATGACATGCTAATCTATTTATACAGATGCACATTGATTTTTGTATTTCTATTTAAATTATGATAATTATAATACATCTCACTAGAGTGGTGAAGATGATGACCTGTATGCCTGCTCAGACTGTCGTTAAGGTGCTGAACTGTTGATGGACAATCCAAAGCCCCTGCACTCTCTTCATATGGTTCTTTATCCTTAAACTGCAGTTGTACTGGACAGCCCTTCAAGTGGAGGACTCTCCTCTGTAAAGCAGGGTACACAGTTACCCTAATCTGGTTGCCTGTGGACTAGTAAGAACTGCTTTCAGATGTTCAGCAACAAAATATTAGCATAGGTGAATGTGGGCCAATAATAAAAAAAAACCTTGTGGACACACGTTGAATCACTGGTCATCATGGTGGGAAATAAGAGTTGTGTGACAGATTTTATACACACCTGCAGTGGTCTCGTAAAGTTTTAAACAGTATCCAGATTGGCCATATGGATGCAGATGCTCTGTGGCTATTATTTCTCCTGCTCCTCTCTAAATGCATGTGTCATCTGGAAGAGAGATAGATACTAACAGATCATCTCTCTTGTGCTTAGTATAGTTCACAGCCAGTATGATCACAAAATAATTGCATACCGTCAAGAAAGAAGCAGCTATGGGAAATGGCTTGGCATGAGCCAAATCAGGTGCTTACATTCTTCAGCTAAAATGTTAAGCATGGCAGCTCACTGTAATTGCAGTGATCTGTCATGTTTTGTCATCATATGCTAATGAGTACTTAACCGCTGCATCTTGATTCATAACAAACACGTGAGCAATACAATAATCATTGTCGGTATTTTTTAAATATAAGTAGTTGACTTTTAACACTCTTCAAAACATGATCAGGCATCTAAAGATAAGCACAGCTCTTCCCATGAATTCTGCTGTTTAGTTTAATAGAGCCCCCAATCCCACCTTGCCTTGACTCACTGGACAATTCCTCTAGACATTGACTTGACTGCCACTGCATCCCTCAGCTCCATACAATGATGCATTTACTGTGAAACCAGGCTTCCAGTGGACTTGTGCTTATTTGATCACAGAGGATGCTGATCTTTTCAAGGTAGGCTTTTGAAATCTTCCAAGATGTAAAATTATGATCTTGTTAAAAGTCATAATACTCAGCATAGTTGTTACTGCCATTTTGTAAAGTCTGTACAAAAAGTGTGGTTGTTTAGTACGACATGGTTTCTGTGAGTCTGGGATAGTTGCAGCTGCGCTTCTGTTCTCCAAAGTGATGTTCAGAAAAGAACTGTCAAAAAGAGGAATAAGAGAAGATGAGGACAGAGTGCAGACTGAAGAACTGCATGATGCCTTTTGCCATTTTATTGTTCCTTTTTGAGAGTGGATATCCAGAACTAGAGAACTTGTGGTACCTTTAACATCAAGATCTTTACCTTTCTTTTGTTATTCTAAATAAGATCTCTCTTTTCACACAAACACACAGACTCACACAGAATCTATGAAATTACTAATATAGTTTTAAAAAGTTTAACCAGCACAGAATTAGCCATTGGAACTTACTTTGTCAGGGTGTCTTAAGGCCTAGTTCTCAGCTCAGGTTGCAATTCTGGATACGGACTGTTCC